ATCCTAAAAACAAGATAATGTAATAAGGCTATAGATATATCTAGGCCCCAGTCACACGGGGGAGGGGGGGGAAGCATGGCCAAAGCGCGGCTTTTCTGAGTCGCAGCAAAATAGACGCGCGGCGGCGGGATCAGACAGATCCCCCGAGCCACAGCGCAGTTGCTCCCCGGCACGATCAGATGCCGGGGGGGAAGCCACGGGACGGAGAGTGAGGCAGCTGGCTGTGCATGTGCGTGCATGCACAGTTTGGCTGGGAGCCTTGAATGCCGACGATCCCACAGCCGCCCTTGCTGCAGAGCTTCAGGTAGGTCTGACGGATCAGACCAGTGGTCCATCTAGTCCAACTTCCTGTCTCTTACAATGGCCAACCAGTTACTCTAGGGTTTTTTTTTTAATGCGCATTTCCCCCCGGAAAGGACGGATCGGGGACGGGTGCACTCCGCTTCCCAGATGTTGCGGTGTGATCACGCCTGTTTGATGTGTCCCCGATCCATCCCTCTTGCGGGGCAAAACCGGGGCTCTAGATGACCAGGTAAAATGGTAGCCGATGAATGATAATACTATTAAGATATTAAACAGACCCTGTAAACTGCACCACTAAATATGACACAAAAGAACAACCTTATGTTATCTGAATTGTCTCTTTCTCCATTTACCTTCTTCTGCTCCCTTACTATGTACAACTAAATTTTGTTATAACCTACCCATTCAATGTAGTATTGGAACGCTACTTTTAAACTTTTTGATTAGTTTCTTCTACTCACCTGCAACATAGCATCACTAAAAAGATATAGGGCTTAACCAACTTCTATAGGTGTCATGCCCACTAGTAGCTGGGATGATCTGTATCCTGTATTTCTGAAGCAGCAGAACAAAGTTTGAGTCCAGTGGCACCTTTAAGACCAACAAAGTTTTATTCAAGATGTGAGATTTCATGTGCAGGCATGCTTTCTCAGACACAGTTAAATGGAACTCACCAGTCCATACATATAAGGCAGCTCATACCGTGAATAAAACTTTGTTGGCCTTAAAGGTACCACTGGACTCAAACTTTGTTATAATATTAGTTATTATTCAGATTCAGACAGGGAAAGATCTCCTATATAATGATGCTTAGGTGACTCACAATCACAATAAAGAACTTTTGTGATTTAATATAGCAAACTTTGAGGCACATGGACAGATGCGCAATGCCACAACTCTGCACAAGTTGAGTACAGAAAAACCAACAAAGATGCAGCTGCAATATAAAATGGCACCTAATATGAAAAATATCATCAGAAGCCAACCTACTTCGTGAAGGTAATCATCCATTCATAGTTTCTTCTTCAGTTTTAAACACATATATGGTAGTTGGCATAAACTTAACTGGTTGAATGCAAAAAACCTGAGGGAGCTCTGCTTTTGGAACAAATATTTGTCACCTCCCTCTTCATACTGCAACCCCTTGCACCCCGCAACTTCAAGTCATTCCTTAGGATAGGTGGATCCTCGAGAACAGTATGGGAAGTGGTGCAGGAAAGCATAATACGAAGGGTGAATTATTAGCAGAAATGGGATACTTCAATATGGGCGGAAATACTCTTCACATAAGGGAGGTCTGAATCTAGCCATTGTGAGGTCTAAAAAACTTATAACTACTATTTTTAAATATGGTCCTCCAATTCTAAACATTTTCTACAATGTAAACTTAATGCCCTCTCTGACTTTACACAAACACTATGGACAATCTCTTCTGTCCTAAGCACCTGTTTACTCATTCATCACATCTACAATAAGTCCATGAAAAATAATTGCAGTTTTGCTATGTTTGCTTTGTTTTAATTGTACTCTAAAAAAGTTTAGATATGATATAAAACTAAAAAATTCTTGTCCTTTCTATCAATACAACAAACTTCATTTGGCCAAGTAATATGTCATAAATATAATACAAATATATTCTTAATAATGGTGATGTGAATATTTTAAGACATGATGGTATTAGGCAGGTATAACAGACTTTCGATGTGTTCCTCATTCAGGATGTTTTTTCTAAAATTGCTACATGCAGCTTTATTTATTTATTTATTTATTTATTTAATTTGTATCCTGCCCTTCCTGCCAAGGCAGGCTCAGGGCGGCTTACAGAATGTGTGTGTGTGTGTGTGTGTGTGTGTGTGTGTGTGAAAACAGCAAAATATATGAAAACACGATTTAAATAAAAGCCACGACGTATAAGATCATAGGTGCTAATAAATGATGGTGGCGTTCTCTCGGCATCCAGACAGTCAACTACCACGATAGTCTGGGTTCTTGCCAGGCTGTTGGTTATTAAGTTGGTACTGATATTGGGGCCAGGGCCTCAATATTGGGAGGTAGCACCCTAATCGAAAGCCAGGTGGAAGAGCTCTGTTTTACAAACCCTGCGGAACTGTAAAAGGTCCCGCAGGGCCCTGATGTCATCTGGGAGCTCATTCCACCAGTAAGGGGCCACCACAGAAAAGGCCCTGGCCCTTGTCACAGCTAACCTGGCTTCTTTAGGGCCTGGAAGGGCCAGATGGTTTTGGGACCCTGATCTTAGTGCTCTCTGAGGAACATGTGGGGAAAGGCGGTCCCTTAGGTAAGTAGGTCCCTGACCATATAGGGTCTTAAAGGTAAGAACCAGCACCTTGAACTAAATCCAGTATGCTATAGACAGCCAGTGCAGTGCTTTTAGGGCAGGCTGGATGTGCTCTTGTATTGGAAGACACAACAACAGCCTTGCTGCTGCATTCTGCACCAGCTGCAGCTTCTGGATTTGGGACAAGGGCAGCCCCATGTAGAGAGTCATTACAGTAATCCAATCTCGAGGTGACCATTGCGTGGATCACTGCTGCCAGGTCATTGCGTTCAAGGAAGGGAACCAACTGCATATGTCAAGCTATAAATTACTAGTCGAAGTTTTGCAGTGCTCTTGCAGCACAATATTAAGTATATTTACTCAGAAGTAAGTACCAGTTAGCTAAATGGGACTGACCACCAAGATAATGTTTAAAATCACAGACTTGCACCCAATCCTATGCACATTTCTTCAAAAGTAAGACCGAGTTCAGTTAAGTTTACTCCTATATAAGTGTCCACAGGATTACAGACTTCGTATATCCTGTGTGACAGCTCTACATTCTTCCCTTCTTGTGAAGAGTTCAAAAGATTCCTATTGTACCTGTCACACAATTAGCATATAAAATGCTTGTTGTGACTGATGTGCAATGTTAAATACTTCCTGTAATTTTTAACTAGGAATGATTTGAAGCCACTCATTGACTTTTACTTCCTAATTCTAAATACACAGAGTTAAGCACTTGTAATGTAAAATGTGTGATCCAGAGTGATGTGTAGGCCAGATCTACTCATGCAACAAACAGATAATTCTCCTTTTAAACCCAGAAGAGCTTTAGAAGTAGCTAGTATCAAGGGCTGCTTAAGTGAAAATAAATGAAAAACACCAGATGCACAAGCTCTTGAACACACATAAAGATTCCAAGGTTGCAATCCTAAGAATACTTACTCGGAAAGAACTCATTGAACTCAATGGAAGTGACTTCTGGATAAATATTTAGGATTACAGTAGAAGTCATATTTCAACATTGATAGATTGTCAACAGTTCCCCAAGAAAAAATCCTATCTCATATCCTGTAAAAATAAGCAAGCATCAAGAATGAATAATTTCTCCTTAGTAATCTGTGTAAGGATAACTTTAGATCTTCAGAACAGATTTCATTTTGTTTACTGATTCTCTGGCTTCCAGGCATGAATCTAGGTTAGTGCAACTTTAGATAAATTAATAATTTATTTTATTATCATAAATAGACAGCAAATACAAGTTCAGTATATTTTCTGATAATAACTTGAATAGAAATGCTAATTAAAATTTCTTCTTTCATACAATTTAGCATCAGCAAAATATTTTACACTATGAAAGGTTAATATTCCTAATTAAACAATTACAGGGGAGAATGAGAGAAATGGCAAAAAAATACGCTCTGCTTGCTATGCCTGTATGTAAGGTCTATATTAATGGCTGAAATAATAAAACAAATTTCAACAGCATTATATATAAACTGAGACAAAAGATTTTGAGTGTGTGCACATGGTCTTAGTTTAACAGGATAATGAGAAAAGAACAACATTAAACAGTGATGTCACTGTATGAAGAAACAAAGGAAGCTGCACAAGCAGAAAAACTAGAACCTCTTTTCTGTAGTTCAGATAGCCGGAACAGTGTCCAAAATCCTTTCTTTAACTTCACTGTAGTTAAATTATCAGACTTACAGAAATACAGTATTCTCATAGGTATAACCTCTGTAAGCAAGCTTGACTGAAATCAAGAGCTTGTTTCCAAGGAAGGGTGGTTAGAATCTGACTGTCTTCATCTGAGGTAGGGTTATGTCTGACTCTTTTGTTATGTATGTTTTGTACAGTGCAGTGCTGCTATTTAACCGTGAAAGGTGTTTTTTAACATCAATTTTCTACCCTTCTCTTCCAAGGCAGGAACACACTTGCATTCTCTGCCTAAAATATGCAAATAAGAGAGGCAAAAAAGAAACAAGGAAATTCTCCCCCACCAGACTGAAGCAAGAGGTTCTGAAAGAGGTCTAGCCAGTTGTCAAATTTTGGAGGTGGTACAAGCAATAGGACGGGGCAGGATGGGGGGAAAGAGAAGGCCCCTGATTTTTAAGGGTCTAAAATGTCTTGGTTAAATTCTATTCCAAACCAATACAGAGATGGGGGGGGGGTTGATCAAGTAAACAAACCAGTTCAAGCAAACGGCAATTTATATCCACATAGATCACCATGATTTGCTGGGTTTTTCTGTTTTCCTTCAATCGCTTTCTTAATCTCGTCCTTTCTTTTTCCATTCCCCCTTCTTAACCGTTCTTATGACCCCCCACTTTCTCTGACTCGCTCCCCCCACATAACCCAGACTCTCTCCCTTCCCTGGCTCCGACCCGATATGTCTCCCCCTGTTCGCAATCGGTACCTGATATGGCGGCGGCGGTTCCTGATCCGGCTCAGTCCCATCCCCATAGCTGGCCCTGTCCGACTGGGACTCGTGAAGCAGGGAAATGTCATCCGAGGTGGGGGATTTCAGGCAATTCCCCATCTTCCCCAAAGGGAAGTGGGGAGTCTCCTTCCGCTTAGAGACACAATGGCAGATCCAGGCGACAGCAGATGCTGCTCCTTTGCTTCGGCCTCCTGTGAACAGCAGCAGGAGCCCGGCTGAAGAGGCTCATGCCAGTCTCCTACCCGGCATAAGCAGCTTAGCCCTCAGCCTGCTTGCCCCAGGGACCCGCTGCTTCTCCCGCCCTCAGGAAGACCCACTCTCCTAACTGCGGGGGAGAACTGACGGCGGGAGGAAAGAGGTCTCAGCCCCCCACCTCCATGAGGGCCTCAGCGGCAGGCTTGTTTAGACAACGAGTGGCGAAGGGGAGATGGCAACCAGGTGCACACACAGAGCGCCTGCCCCCTCCCTTCGTCCCAAGCGCTTTTCTTCTTCCTGGTCACCAGTCTTCTGCGCACTGAGCTTTGTCAGGCAGGCCTCTTTAGCTCCTCCTTCTTTTTGCAGTGATGCCAGCTTGGACGGCAGGCCTGGCTGCTCTTACTGTTTGCCCAGCCCCCCTGCCTTCCACCTCAGCCAAAGGCAAACATACACCTCAGAATATGCTTTTTAGAAATCACCTTCTCTTCTTCGTGCTGAGGGAGGCATTTTATCTACCAATAAGCCCACCAGCTAAGGCTTGATAGAGTTATACTTCTCTGTTTTCTGGAGAAGTAATGTTGCAAATTTTATGCATGCACCATGATCTGACTACCTTTCACATTAAGAAGAACGCTGTGCTAATTCGGTGCTACTTTACTCAGAACCACTAATTTTAGTAGGATTTATTTCCAGGTTAAATGTGCTTACATTCATAGCTTCCTTCTTGTAATATATTGATTAGGTTTGGCCGGGCAGCAGGAGGGACATGGCCATGGAAATGGAGGAGACATGATGTACAAACATAGAATTTTTGGTGACTCCAAGAGCTACCTTTGTTGCTTCTGGGTTTTCTCTTGCCATAGTGGGAGGCCTGGCAGCTCTACTGACAATCATGATTATTAATTCCAGCAGGGCTATTTTTGGGCAGGAACGCACAGGAATGGAGTTCCCTCTGGCTCCCGAGTTGGCCACGCACAGCAGGAACTCATTAGTATAATAGGCCACACCCAACAGCAGAAACTCATTAGGATTGGCTACAATTAGGGGTGGGTGGCCTAACATGCAAAAAGCCCTGGGTTTTGACAACAAACAAGATAAAGAGAATAAGAAGCAAAAGGTAGGTGTGGCTGGATGACCACGCTTCCGGTAACATGGGGGTGTGGCCTAATATGCGAATGAGCTGTGCTGTCAGGGTGTGGCCTAATATGCTAATGAGTTCCTGCTGTTGGGTATGGCCTATTATGCTAATGGGTTCCTGCTGGGCTTTTTCTACCAAAAAAGCCCTGAATTCCAGTAAAAAGGGTATTTGTGAGGGTTGGGTAGTCAAATCTGATCTGAATATAAAATAAGTTGTGGATATTATTCTGTAATTATTAATCTAGAGTAGAAACACCCTATTGTATATGAGGCCTTGTATGTCTAGTTCTTTCTTCTTGATCATCTTTTTTTTTATGTGGATGCATTCCCTATCTCTTGAAAGGGCTATGTCCAAAGAAAATATTTGTTCCTTTCCAATAGAGGATGCCTTTCAGGAAATGTTAATGGTGTCATTACTAGCTTTGATTCTTTCTTTCATTGTTGCAAAATTGCCTTTATCATACTATCAACCCCTTGCATAAAATAAAAAGATTTACCAATTGTAGGTTCTCCCTTGCCATGAAATATGCTTTAGTGTTAATTCTAGAGAAGCAGCTGAATTAACCTGAAAATACTAGCTGAAGACTGAAACATAAGTATATGAATCATACTTGGGGATGCCTTGCATTTTTAGAACAATTATTTCATATTTGTTAGTAGGGGTGAGAGCCAGATTTAGCATACTATTATATTTGCACTAGGACAGGTAGGTCTATAGTACTGGATCGCCTAGCACATTTAGCAGTACTCAGGATTGTGAAGAATTGCCTCATATTTGCAAGTTTTATTTTCTCAAAACTGAACCATAAATTATATGAATATGCAACAATGGCAAAACTTACATCTTATTTACATGATAAACCGGTTTCAGAATTTCAAGAAAATGGAAAATATTTTTGATTACACATCTGAAAATTAAGAACAAATCTAATTCAAGATGTAGATTAAGAAAATGAAAGAGTCAAGCAGTAGAAGTTTGTAATAACAAACCAGATGTGAAGTGATGGAGATAATTGGGAAGGATAGAATAAATACACTTAAATAGAGGTTGAAAAATAAGAATATATTCAAGCAAGTTATAAATAAGTATAAGTGTATGATACAGAAGATATAGATGATTATGTATATATTTAATATGATCTGGATATTGTATAAGATTGTAATAGATTATTATAGATGATTATTTATATACTAGGAATAAGGCTCGTTGTGGAAATAAATACAATAAGCTCTAGAAAGAGGCTCTGGGCGGGTGCCCTAGCCTTGGGCACTCAGCGTCAATTTGCTGTGGTGACCTCAGCAGGATATAATGACATCTGGAGAACAGCTGTAATTCTGAGTGATCTACAGCCCTCCCCTGGAAATTGGCAACAATGGTTCCCCATCAGGAAATGGGTGGTTTGGAGGGTAGAGTCTATGGCATTGTACCTGTCTTGGAGGCAGCAGCCCAATCTCCTTCCCAGCCAGCCATCAACACACCGTTATCTACCCCTCTGACTTCAGCTTTCCATCTCCCCCACACACACCTGGAGCCTCTACCTAGGAAAAGTACAGTCTTTCTCCTCAGTGGGGACCCAAGCAGGAGGGGAAGTGACCTCAGACCTCAGCAGGGTATAATGACTCAGAGTCCACCCTGAAAAGCAGCCATTTTTTCCAGGGGAATTGATCTCTGCAGTCTGGAAAGCAGTTTTAATTCTGAATGATCTCCAGCCCTCACCTGGAGAATGGCAGCAATGGTTCCCCAGGAGGAAATGGCTGGTTTGGAGGATGGAGTCTATGGCATTGTACCTGTCTGTGGTCCCACTCCTCCTCAAACCCCACCCTCTCCAGGCTCCATCCCTCAAATCTCCAGGAATTTCCCAACTTTCCTTCCCAGCCAACCATCAATATACCATTATCTGCCCCTCTGACTTCAGGTTTCAATCTCTATCCCCTTCCCTGTAGCCTCTACCTAGAAAAGTACAGTATTTCTCCACATCACAGAAGCTCACATCATTCTTCTCTCCCCCTTTTGATTTGCACAAGAACCCTGTGAGGTAGGTTACACTGAAAGTCTGTGAGTGGTCTGAAATCACCCAATCAGCTTCCACAGGAAGAACTTGGGTCTGGAAGGCTCTGCCATGAAGCGCTAACTGCTACATCACACTGGTTGTCTGTGGGGGGCACCTCAGTAGAGTATAATGCCACAGAGCCCACCATTTTCTCCAGGGGAACTGATATCTATGATATGGAGAGCAGTTTTAATTCTGAGTGATCTCCAGCCCTCACCTGGAGTCTGGCATCAATGGTCCCCCAGGAGGAAATGGCTGGTTTGCAGGGTGGATTCTATGGCATTGTACCTGTCTGTGGTCCCACTCCTCCTCAAACCCTACCCTCTTCAGGCTCCACCCCTCAAATATCCAGAAATTTCCCAACCTGGATTTGGCAACCCTATCTCCTTTCCAGCCAACCATCAACCTACTGTTATCGACCGCTGATCTCTACCATCTGGAGCCCTCACCTGGAGATTGGCAGCAATGGTTCCCCAGGAGTAAAAGTAAAGTCTTTCTCCGCAATGAAGACCAAAGCAGCTTACATCCTTCTCCTCTCCCCCTTTTGAACTGCACAACAACCCTGTGAGGTAGGTTAGGCTGAAAGTCTGTGACTGGTCTGAATTCACCCACTCAACTTCCACAGCAAGACCCTATTAGAAGAACTTCCTGCTACACCTAGGGTAGCCAACCTCCAGGTGGAGCCTGAAGATCACCAGGTATCACAACTGAACTCCAGACAACAGATCTCTCCCTGCCCAGAGAAAATAACTGCTTTGGAGGGTGGGCTCTATCATGCATTCTGTTCAGCTGAGGCCTCTCCCCTCCTCAAACTCTGGCTTCCTTAGACTCCACCACAGAATATCCAGGAATTTCCCAACCTGTAGCTGGCAACCCTAGTAGGGTTGCCAAGTCACTTACTTGGCACAGCGGGGGAGAATTGGTCCCTGCGCGGGACAATTCATGCACGCGCGAAGTGCGCACGCGCCGCAATGACATCACCCAGAAGTGACATCATCACGTTGGGCACGTCACCAGCCGACGCTCTAGCAATCAGGCTGGACTCAGGCACGTCACCAGATCAGACTGCCTCCAATGTCTGTTATTCTTTCTTTCATGATTACCTTAGCCTGGTCCCGGTTCAGAGCCAAAATGGCTTGAGGGGAAAGACCAAAAAGATGCAGCTTGTTTAGGGTTGCCGAATCCCCTGAACTGCAGGCTGTGGAAGGTCGGTAGTTCAGCAGTTCGAGACCCGAGTGCTGCATGATGGAGTGAGCTCCCGTCTCTAGTTCCAGCTCCTGCCAACCTAGCAGTTCGAAAGCAATAAATTGCAAGTAGATAAATAGGTACCACTTCATTGAGAAGGTAACAGCGTTCCGTGCGCCATTGTGTTTAGTCATGCTGGCCACATGACCACAGAAACGTCTTCGGACAGCGCTGGCTCTTCGGCTTTGAAACAGAGATGAGCACCGCAACCCTAGAGTCGGATTCGACTGGCTTTCGAACAAGGGAACCTTTACCCACCGCCAGCCAGCTGGCTGCCAGGGAAGCCCCGCCCCGCCCGCCCCGCCCGCAGCCACCCCCTCCCTTCTCTCTTGAGATAGCGGAGGGAGGAATGCCCCCCAAAGTCCCCTGCTGGGGGTGAATATATGACTTGGCAACACTAAGCTTGTTATGAACAGCTTTCAGCCAATTTGACTGGAAGTTGTCTGTGAGTACCATGTGGCACACCAGAGAAAAAGGGCCTGCCCAGCTTTCAACTGGATCTGCCTTCCAGCACAAGGGAAGGGGGAGGGAATATAACACAGGAGCAGCAGCCTTTGGAGTTGATTGATACGGTTTGTGGATCACAGCCCTTGGAGAGATTACATTTATTTATTTATTTATTTATTTCCTTCGATTTCTATACCGCTCACCCCCTAAGGGCTCTGAGCGGTTTACATTATACATTTGATATCTAAATTACTAGGACTTTACTCCTTTTTAGATGACCTAAGGGGGGACTTGAAAGCCACTGCTCACAGGTCTAAGGAGTTTGTGGGTCATAATCAAAACTTGATCCAGAAATCAGTTAAGGCAATAGACTTGGAACAAAGCCCTGCCAAAGCAAAGAAAAGGAAC